TCTATATAACAAAATTATTTGCTAATATATATAAAAATGATTTTAAAACGACATAAATTTTATGATTTCTAGATATGTCCATGCAAAAATATTTTTTCCATGCAATAATAGCGTAGGTTATTTGAAAGTCAAAAATACGATAACATGAACTTCAAAAAGAAATAAAAATTATTTGTTCTCTCTAGAATATTTTTGGCAAGTTACATTTTCTTGGCATAAAGAAAATATATATTCAACATGTTCTATCAGCAAATTCAATCCATTAAATCATCTGATACCGTAAATGTAAATAGCTATCTAAAAGGCCCACTCTCCGAATATCAAGTAAGAAGGCCAAGGTCCTGGTCGGTTTAGGAATATCTTATGAATATTGGAGCGATCCGAATCTATTCAAGAGTGTACAAATCTCACTAAATCCGATTTATATCCGACCTTCTCTAACCGAAGTCGGTCGACCGTTTCTGGCGGCGGTGACGCGCTCTGGAAACCGATTATAAATAAAATTGACTTTTCAACGTGATATATTGAGATGATTTTTAACATCCGCTTTGTATCTATCTTATGACGTCATCGAGTGAAGTGACCTTGTTATCACAAGAGATGTTTTGTATTTGGACAGCGAAATTAAAATATACAGGGTGACTGGTGAATTACTATCAATATTTAAAGAGAATACTCGGTACATGATTCTCATTCGAATTATGTAAAAAAATAGGTACTTAATTTTTGACAAAAATTCCCGTATAAATAAATAAAGTGCGGACACGTTCCAAGTGTTCCAAGTGTGGACGCGTGCGGCGGCGTGCTGATACAACACTACGCCGCCGCCGCGTCTGTGTGTGTGTGTATACCTAATCTGTAGGGTGTTCACACGATGCGTAATTAATTACATAACTTTTGGTTAACTTTACTTAGAAGTTTATTAATATTTATGTTATATTAATTTTTATTTTGTCATATATGATCGTCAAATATCACGTCCTCAAGTATCGATAGTAATTCACCAGTCACCCTGTATATGTCATCAGCCTATCAACGCCCACTGCTGAGCATAGCCTCTTCTCACACAGAGAAGGTTTTGAGCATTAATCACCACGCTTGCTCAAGACGGGTTGGTGATTTCAAACTTATAATTGTGAAACTATAAGTCCAGGTTTCCTCACGATGTTTTCCTTCACCCTGTATATATATGCGAAAAATTATGTTTTATATAAGGTAATCTTGTTTGTTGGATTTCGTTTATATACTTGAAACATAGTATGTTATATTAGACTTATTCACATATGCACGTGTATATAACTATAATAGTAAGTAAATCAGTGGTGGCCTAGTGTTTGAAAGGCCCGCCTCTCATGCACGAGGGCTCGGGTTCGATCCCGGCCCGGAAATTACCAATGTGATTTTTCCTAGTCATAATATGTAAATTCTAAGAGTATTTAGACATCACTGATTAATGCATTCCCAAAGAGGGTTGAGGCGGCCGGTCGTAAAAACAATTAGCCAAAACTATTGAAAACGTGTAAGGCAGACCCTGGCTAAAACTGGGAAAATTGTCAGGTGGAAGAAGAAGATAACCATAAGAGTTAGATTTCTCATGTAAGAATGACCTACGCTCAGATCCAAACAGACATTACGTTCAAGTTAAAAAATAATAAGTTCTTAAAAATTAACTTTATCGTGTACTGAGCGAAATACTGGCTTTTGGATTCGTAGAGGTAAAAACTTCGCTCAAAGAAGTTATTCCTTTGTAGGCATGGCTCGGAATAATTCTCAAAAAATTTCTAAATAACAATCTGAAGTATTTTTGTGAAACGATGACTGTTTTTCTTAGAATATATTAAATCATCGTTCTATAATATATTTTTCATTAAAATTCTAAAACACTTAGTAATTTGAATCACAATTATTCCTATGATTGGTGGTCGTTTATAAATTCGTTACGTCTTTTTGCGTCACAGAAGTTCTTCCTCTTTATTTCCATTACATTTTAATTTTATTATAATCAACAATTTTTATTACCTCGTTAATCAGATGCTGTAAAAAAATATTACTGGGTGCAATATGTAGTTTTTCGTCATGCGTTAGAATTTAGAAACAGGTTTTATAAAAATTATATGTTTTTTCATTACAAAAAAACATTATTATTTTTTTTATTACTGTAATTCTTTTTGTCATAATGACGTCTAATTTTTCCGAGAGTTTTATTCATTTAAATGAAACTAATATTTTTCGGATATACTACGCGACTTTGTCAAAAAACTAGGTACATACTCCCGACGTTTCGGCTACTTTTCAACCGTGATCACTGGCAGACGAGATGTCTTTTTGCTATACTAAGTTAAGTTATTGAGTGAAAATCCTAGTCGACCATAATCACATAGAATCCTAACATTCATCAGTCTATTGGTGTCAGAGAACCATCGGTGATATAATTACAGGTATCTGTAATTAGTGACGTCATATTATGTAACACACAAACAAACATACTTTCTATTTCATTCGGTCAGTCGGACGTTCACGTAATTTACGTTTCAAATGAACACGTATCTTTTTCTTAATAAAACTTGTTTACAAAAGTTACGTTTTTCTATATCGCCTTTTATGTATGAGGTCAAACAAATAGTATTTCCTACTTGAAAAAACACAATCTATGTATATATCTTGGTTAGATATGTTTTTTTTTATTTTAGTACTTATACAATGCAATACTTACATCTAATGACGGTAAACTTTCATTTTCATACAAAATTATTTAAATTTTAATTAAAAACTAAGATTAATTATGAAAAAATATACCTTTTTTATATACATATACTAAAACTTTTTGGGAATGTTCTTCGTTAGTTATTAATACAAAAATACTTTCATTGTTTTCAGTACAATATAGAACCTCGTATATAAAAATATGTTAATACGTGTCTAACAAGTAAGATACCTATTGTGTTACAAGTACTGAGAAAAACTGCATTCAATGAAAAGCGATGCATGCACTATAAATGGTTCCATTGTCTGAACCAGTTGCTACGGGAACCCGTCATACAAGATTAACATCCGAAGATAATTATCAGATATCCTAAGATAATTAATCCGAAGATTATACATAAGACATAATACAAAATATAGAGATTTTAAAGTACATAATAGTGAAATATATCTCTCAATGGCCACTGATTATATAACGTCATATGTAATACACATTAACAGCGAAAGAAATGTAGGAATTTACAAATTTGACATTTACAAACGAACATGGAATAATGAACTCTATTCCAAATAGAATAAGCTCTTAATTTAAACGTAGCTAAAGATTAAAAGAAATTTCGCAGCCAAAAAACATGTTTCATATAAAGACGCACTCGAGATATTAAAGCCATTTCATACATATGACGTTATTTAACGACCCAGCATACATTTGATGAACTTGAAATTACTTTAATACTACACATCTTAAATATTCAAATGGTCTAATAAAAAGCGACGTAATTATACTAAGGACTATATATGTATGTGTGTGTGTGTGTGTGTTTGTGTGTGTGTGTGTTTGTATGTATAGTATGTTATTAATGAATCAACTCAAATAATTATGTATGAGATTGGTTTATAAGGCCGGTGGATTTTTTATCTCATTTGACAGTCAAATATTTTAAATAGGAGCAACTACAAGGATTACAAGTAAATAGTAATATGTATATTATTTTCTTTATTTAAATCTTGCGTGCATTATATAAGTAATAAAATTATAATAGTTTACATATAAAATATATCTTGTTTACTAATTACGCCAATATTATGCCCATTCTATTTATGTATAAAAAAATTTATGTAGCTTTATAATCGAAATTACGATAATCACGAATAGTAACTTAAACTAGTTTCAAACCTGAAATCACTTACGAGCAAAAAAACTCCAACCGACTTGGAGATTAGCGAAAAAATTATGTAAGAAACGAAACGAGTCAAAGAAACTAACTTAATGATTCAAACTATTAAAGAATTAAGCTGGTATCTTAGACTATACATAAAGATGTGAAAAGACGCCATTGCTCTCAACAGTAGGCTCTGATAGGCTGATGATGATGATGATGACATAAAAATGAGCAATGAATAAATAATTTTCAGTTTCATCGAACAAGATAAAGTATCCGGTTTCTGGACGTGGATGTTCGTGCTGTCCAAGCTGCCTGAACTTGGAGACACGGTGTTCATAGTGCTGAGGAAGAAGCCGTTAATCTTCCTACACTGGTACCACCACATCACTGTGCTGCTCTACACTTGGTTCTCATTCACTGAGTACACGTCATCAGCGAGGTGGTTCGTCGTTATGAACTACTGTGTTCACAGGTGATGACGTCACTCATATTATGATAATTATGATAACTCTTATCTCTATATAATTCTGCTCCAAATCAATGACATACTCCTTTTAGGTCAATATCAAGAACAGAGTAGAAATAAAATTCGCTTCGTTTTAAATATCCATTATCGCATTAATAACTAATTAATAAACTCGAAAAGTATATATAAAAACTGTCAGTAAATTCAAATGTTTTATAACTATGTTTTTTATCATGAGTGTATTGTGATAAAAAAACTTCAATAGTAACGCTGGCATAATTGTACATTAAAACAATTGTAATATATATTCTATTGTTTTTAACTGTTCTGTATGAACCAATAAGCAATGAAAAGAAAGTGTTTTGAAAGGGCTCTGGAGTCATTAATTTTAATTGTAAATCGCTTGTTTTTTAACTTAACATTGGTACATATTAAAAGTACTGTATTATTTGTATATAATTACGTAAGTGGAAATCTATACCTAATGTATATTTTTGTCACGAAGAGTAAAGGATAATTATCAGCTCTCATAATGTTATGTTTATTTCGATCTGAGGCTAATAACATGTAATTATGACGTCATTCGATTTTAAACACCTAACAAAATAAGTCATTCAATTTTCGATCGTATACATGTACATATAAAGTGTATTTTATCATTGCAGTGTGATGTATTCGTACTACGCGTTGGTCAGTATGGGTAAGTATCCGCCTAAGATGCTCGCTATGACGATCACGGTGCTGCAACTGACTCAAATGATAGTCGGCTGTGCTATCAATGTATCGGCTCACAACTATCTGTCAAGTGTCCCGCCTCGAGCGTGCGGCATCAGCCAAATAAACATCAAGCTATCAACAGCCATGTACTTCTCCTACTTCGTGCTATTCTCGCAATTCTTCTACAAAGCATACTTCTCGCCGAAGTCCGGCAAAAAGGCGAAGACCGAACCCATACAAGATATACCCAAGGTGTCCAAAAAGATCGAACCGAACAGCTATCCCAGACAGAGGAATGGTGTCGTACACTAGTCGACATTGTGATATAATTAGTATAGACGCCGATTTGACAATTCTCGATCATTTAATTAATTACCAATGAACAAACAGTTACATGATACACATGACGTTACTTTATTGTTATCCACTTCACATCGGACGATTAATTAATTATACATTAAACTGTTGTTGGCGCGTCGTAATTGTTATACGACGGCATACAATCAGGTTTTAATAGATTACTTTACCGACGCTTATAGTTCCTTGTAAAGCTGGTTCGTTACCGGAAACTCATATTTTGTTAATCACTATATACAGGGGGTTCACGAAATTATTATTTTTAAAATTTTTTTGTTTGTGAAATCGAAAATTGTTATTAATCAGTGTCGCTGGCTTAAAGGGCAGTCCTCACGAGTTACATTCCCTGCTTTATTTGTAATGGTTTCCGCTGGGGTGTCTTTGGCTTATATAACGCTTCAGTGAGTACTCGCCCTTAGCACTGCTTCTATATATATTGTGTCCATAGATTATACAGAGGAACGATCGTGAGTCAAATTAATAGTAATTGTTAATAAGCCTGTTTGGATATTTAATATAAAGATAAATTATTTTTGTCCGATTCTTTATAAACCTGATATAAATGTAACTCTGTCACCACAATCTATGTAGGAGCGTATAACTTTGTTATCGTATTTATTACTTAAAATATAGTGAATTTCTAATGTAATTTATTTGTAAAGGGTAGTTTTAAATGTACAGTTTAAAAGATTGTGATTTTCGTTTAAACCGTGGTATAAGGATATACAGATACACGTTTATACTAAAGCCAACGAGACAAGATAAAAAATGTAAATAAACTTCAATATCATATTGATATTTTAAATTTTATTACAATATTAAAATGTCAAAATTGTAGCTTCACATAATTGCAAATTGTTATATAGTTTTAGTTTTATTTCCAACTATCAAAGAATTCCTATTTTACATATTAACACTTAATGATAATAAAAATGTAAACGTTAATTAAAAAATGTTATACGACTATCACCAACACCACACTTAATTAAACTTCGAAAAACATATAAAAAAAGTTTGTTTACATTTTCTATCTTGTCTCGTTGGCCCTATTAATGTCGAATACACTTACTGTTCAAGGTGTATACTTTGAACGCTTGTCAAACAAGTGCACAAAGTGTAAAAGTTAACTAGATTTATTTTTCATATAGTTGTAAGCGACTTTACATTGGTTGTTAGCTTCTATATATTTATTGAGCCGCTTGTCTGATGACGGTGTATGAAGTGAAGCAATAATACGAGCCTATTGAAATTATTATGGCATAATGTACAAAATATAGCGATTTAACTAATATATACGCCTTGTATATCGCGTATTGATGTCCGATAAATAAATTCAGTTACAAATTGTAGTCGACGTATAGAGTCTAGTTTTGAATATTATTTTTTTGTTGATCGTACTTTAAAACGCTAGAAATATTAAACGTAGGTATTTCATTCGAGCGACCCGACTAAATCCTATTCCTAAATTAGTGTTTACAGAGTCAAAAGAGTAGTAGTATATTATTAAGTAGTACGAAAAGTTCAAATTACGCCATAATGTAAAAAAAATTTAAAGTGAACATATAGTGCAAAACGAATTTAAAAAATGTACATCATTGAAGGAATATACATTTTTTAATGCATTCGATTATTATTAAGAACTAATGTCGCTTTCAGGATCATCAAGGATTTGTGGGGTTTGGGGCAAATAGGATGTAGTTTAGGCAAAGTCAATTCAGACTAGATGAAAACTAAGAAAACTAGGTAGTTCAGTCTAGACTTTGTTATTTAGTACAATAATCGACCTTACTGGTCCGTAATAGGATTTCCTTTTAACTGTAGTAGATACTTTCATCAAAACATGTCAGTACTAACGGTGGGGCTAATACATTGATGTATAAAAATTATTTATATCACTCATACGATATATTGAATCAAAATCAAATTTTATATATCACATGTGATGATCGTTTACTGTTGGAATTAACCAGAAATTATATGAAATGGCAAAGAACAAAAAACTAGTGAAATATTTTCATATGTGGATGTAAAAAATTTCACTTTCTCATGAAATACAGGTTAATAATGTGACCGTTTGTTGAAGTTTTGTAGGAAATATCGGAGTTGAGATACTTCCATCACAGATATGTATGTTTATTTTGTAAAACATCTCAATTTTTTTATTTTTAATTAATATACACAAGTTTGCCTGGCGCTTGCACATATACTTTTTGATAGCCACATTCCTATATTTCTAATAATTAATTCACATTACAAAATCTTTTTCAAAGCCAGCCTCTATATATTTTTTTTTGATTACTTTATGTAAGAAGCGGAATATTAACATTTATAATTTTATTTTAATATTCTTTTGTCACTGATTTTTTTTTTCTATTAGATATTTCTAGCTTCAGATAAATTAATTACCAAAACTTATCAAAGTATTTCATAATAGTTATATATTTTTGAAGATATTTTGAGATAACATCTATTGCAGGAGCTGTGTAATTGAAATATACAAATAAAGCTATTTATTTATTGTTCAGGACTAAAAGTGAGTTGTTCTTGCAATAATTAATTTGTATTTTCTGGGCAAATAAAGCATTCATGCATTATTTTTTGTATTTCTTTTCCTAACCCTTAACATTAATATATAATCCGTTCTCTGATCCTAATATGGATATTATAATATAAAAAGAGGCTTTACCATAAACTTATGCCTATACAAATATTATTGACATACGCTATAAATATATACCTCTGGCAGTATCATGAACATGACTATATGTCTTTGAGCCAGAAATAAAAAAGATATTAAATATTTTAAATTGTCGCATCTTAAAGCAATAAGCTACCTTAAAGCCACATTTTTCTTTATGTCCAATTTTAATTCAGTCAAATTTAAAAATAAATAGAAATATTCTTATACAATTGTTAAGAAATTAAATAAAAGATAATTTTACTATAATTTTTTATTTTGTAAACATATCATATCAAGACTCATAATTTAGTAGTTAAACATGCAAATATATATGTATAGAAATCTTTTTGTTAGGTAAAAGTAATTCTGCATCGCCACATAGGCATGTAAAATATGTCAATACTATTCTAATCTTAAAGAATCAATTTCTATACTTCTATTAAAAGGATTGGTGGAGGGAAGTTTATGTTTTGGGAATTCATCTAAAAAATGTTCGAGAGCAGAGACAATTAAATAATCACTTTATTTTGAAAGTCTATATTTGATGCTGTCTGTACTTTTAGTCTTTTTGACAGTGACATTACTGTGTTTTGATTGCCGTGTTAAAATTTAAATCTAGGTTGAGTTGAGTTGAGTTCCTAGGGGTTTTCTTTAAAATATGGATCTAATTGATAGCGACATTCGTCAGTGGGACGCTAATGAGATAAAGGAACAATTTGGTGACAGTCTGATGCTGTTACCATCCAACAATAATATTAAGGAGCTACAAACTATTCTACGTGACAAGTGAGTGAGGTTATGGAAAAAATGTTTTTTTCCCAATTTCTCGTAACCCTAGTTTGAAACTACTTTTTATGCAGTTCTATATCAAAAACAATTTAAAATATCCTTTGATTGCACTATTATTAATAAATAAATAATTTTAATTAATATATGTAATATTCTTGATCTTTGTCAGAAAACAAACAAACTCTTAAAGTTTAAACTCAATATGTATATTATGGCCAACTACTTTGTAGGCATACTACTCGCAGCGATTTCAAATTCTACGCTGATCGTCTCATCAGGCTTGTTATTGAAGAAAGTCTTAACAAACTGCCATTCACTGATTGTGAAGTAGTAACTCCTACTGGAGCCTTGTATAAAGGTTTGAAGTATGGGTCGGGAAACTGCGGAGTGTCAATTGTGAGGTCGGGGGAGGCTATGGAACAGGTATGTTGATCAATATACAATATGAAGCTTTATCTGTGCCTCTAGTACATGTATCATAGGTGTACAAGCAATTTCTTTAGTTCTAAACCTTTTTTATTAAAGTAAATACTTCAAGAGCTGCCTGACATTAAAAATATCAAAATTTACATCAATATCTCAGCTTGATTGTTGTACATATAACTAATATTCACAGTAGTCTTTTAAGATATATCACGATATCATTAAGTTGCAACAAATGTTGTTATTAGATCACATTGCCTACTTGTAATCTTGTTCTTATATTCCAGAAAATATTAACAAAATTATTTATTTAAATAAATATGACCGCTACACTTGTGTCATAAAGTGAAAAATGGATAACTTCATCTAAATTATATATATTTTTTTACAACTGTGACACAGGCAGACAAGATAATTGTGGTGACCGGGTGATATATATTAGTTTCATATTAGTTCTAGCTGTTAGTATTTTCTGAATAACCTCATGCAAGGGATTTAGATTTCCTTGTCCCCAACGAAGCTTACTAACTAAGATTCTTCTTATCCTATTGTATTGGAACAACTCACCTGCATATATTACTTCTGGAAAGATATTGCAAAAGAAATCATTCATAAAGTATTAAATGTCATGAAATTTAGAACTTAAAACACTTGTTAGTTGTATTCAAACTTAATAGTAAATGTTTTTGTGGTATATAAATTATAAACTAGATATTTTGTCCAATTTTATATATTAATAAATTATTAGGGATCAATTGATACATAACATAACTATAATTTTTATTAATGAGAGTTTTGTGTTTTATATATGTTGTAGTGCATATATTAGCGTAAAAGAGAAAAAATCTTTAACCCTATAAAATGTTTATATTTTTAAATATATTTAAAAAAACCTCTTTATAAATATTATTTAAATGTGTTTTCCTACTAGGGTCTCAGAGATTGTTGTCGGTCAATCCGCATCGGTAAGATTCTGGTTGAAAGTGACAATGACACTCACGAAGCTCATGTAGTGTACGCCAAGTTCCCTGAGGATATAGCTAAGAGACAGGTGTTGCTGATGTACCCTATTATGTCTACGGGAAATACTGTGAAACAGGTAATTTTCATATTTTGTAAAGAATTACATATATACTAGAAGACCCGGCGAACCTCGTATCGCCCCATATTCAAGAAATATCTGTTACGTTTTTTTATTTATATTTTTGGAGTTCACCTATTAAAGCCCTAAATCTCTGTGTTTTGAAGTGCGACAGAATGATTGACATATTAGTTAGTTGTCAAATCTAATGTCAAAAAAAAAGTTTGTACCAACAACTACTAATAAAATTAAAAATTAATTTAAAAACATTGTCCAGCAGACAAAATTGTGAATCTTAACCAGTCCCAGATCCCCTTGAAAACACACAAAAAATTTGATCAAAATCGGTCCAGTCATTTGAGAGGAGTTCAGTGACATACACACTCACAGAAGAATTATATATATAAAGATAGGTAACAATTTCATATATTAATGGTTCAGTTAATTTTTTATTTTGATTGTTTCTGTAATTTATCAATCAAAAAATAGTGTGCCTTTTTGACTAAATTTAATATTCTACAATATTAATTTTTTGCAACATAATATTTCAATAAATAATCGTTAATAGATAATTAATTTGTTGTTACACCATGTTGAATCTGCATTAAATTCTCAATTTGTTTGTATTTTATATGTACTGATCCAAAATTTCTGAATTAAAGATGGAGTTCTCAATTATAAACAATATTTCAATTAATTTCCAGGCCGTGAATGTTTTAAGGCAGCATGGTGTTAAAGAGGAGCGTATAATTCTGTCAAATCTGTTCTGTACACCGGCAGCGGCTCAAGCAGTAGTGGACTACGTGCCAAAGATGAAAATACTCACCTCAGAACTACATCCAATAGCACCAAACCACTTTGGACAAAAATATTTCGGAACCGACTGATATGAGGATGACTTTTTATTTTAATTATTATTATATTGTGATTATATAAACTATATTTAAATACATCATCGGAACTAATTGATAAATCCTAAATGGAGTACATATGTTGGAAGAATTAAGTTTCATACAATTTATGAGTTACTAATAGAGTATAAGTAATATTTAAATATCTGTATCTGTAACATTTTTATATAATATATGTAGAATTACAGTCAAAACTGGATAAGCGAGATTGCTAGGGAGTACAATCTTATTCTCCCTTTTAGAAGTTTCTCACTAACCCGAGTTTCTCCTTAATGCAGGTTCATAGGTAATGTTTCTTTCTTATAGAGGTATTCAGCAATAACAAGTCACATTCGACATATAGGTACTTTATAAAAGTGGGTATCAAGAGCTATACAATTTTATTTTATTAAGAAAATCCGTCAATTTCGTTTGGGTTTCAGTTTTTGTATTTTGAATGTTTCTAACTCATAAATTTTGTCGTATATTGCTTGATTAACAACCGTCTCGTGTTGAAAGCTAGCTTCATTGGAATGATCTTTATTTCTGTTTCCGGAATCGGTGCCTCGTCTTCATTGCTATTTTTCGTTGCTAGGTAAAACATCATTTTCCTCTGGCAGGTTTTGCTCATCTGTATTTTCCAAAACCCAGCTTTCTTGAAGCAGTTTTTGACCGTAACGTCACGACCTAGTAAAATGCTTTTCTTATAGTTTGTGGATTATAATAGATTCTCCTTGACCAAATTTTTAACAGCGTGCTATTCAGCCTTTTGGAATCTTTTTTTTTGGTTCACCTTCACAGGCGTCGAAGTCAAAATCTCAGCTTTTTGAGTTGATTGACTTTTGAGAGTTGATGTTTGTGAATCAGGTTTGGCGACAGCATTGTGATGGTGGAGGTTTCTTATGACTCGGTACTTCTAGGCTAGTAGGTAGGCTCAAATCTGTGTTTGTCATATTTCTGCTCGATTTTGATGCTTTAAGTAATTCGTCTCTTTTAGAACGCTGCAACAGACGTACAACGATTGGACGAGGATACTTTCTTGCGTTTCCTGTAGCTCGAGCAGCCCAATCAATATCTTGGTTTGTAATATCCACACCGATTTTGTTCGCTAAAACTAAGGCTATATGGGATGGGTTCTCGTTGGAACATTCTGGAATGCCACAGACTTCAATTTCATTTCTAATCTGTTAAACCATAAAATAAATCATCCATTCTTGTGAGATATTTTTTTAAAGTATTTTCTTCGTCTGCAGTAAAAATTGGTTTGAAGCTACCTAAATGTTTGCTGGTAGATCCTGTTTTATAATATCTTAGTGGTTAAAACTTAATTTTTTCTTCATAAAGAACATACAATGTTCACTTAAATGAGATATATTACATAATTTAATTTAATTAACAATTTAGTATAGTAGTAACGACTTATACAATTCAAGAGTAGTTAATCTAAGTGCTTTGTACAATAAGTAATAATTTCTTTTTAAAAATCGTAAAGGTTTTATTCATTAAAAATTTCATTAGGTAAGCTATTATATAGTTTCGCTCAGACTTAATAAGGTACTAAACGGAATGTTATATGTATTTCCTTGCTGCAGTGCGAACCGAAGTTCGACTAGCTTCTTCCATAGCCCGATCTAAATATTTTGTGTCCAATCACCTCTATTGGTTTTTCTTTTGTAATATGAAACACATTGGTCCACAGATTTACTTTCCCCGGCTGCTTTTTTGAAAGCTAATATCATGACGCCTTTTAAAACTCTTTAACCAGCCGTTGCTAGCTAAAAAGTTCTGGATTCCCAGTTTTATAGAAAGCCCTTTCGATTTTTCTTTCAACAAAAGTCCATCTAGTGGAATGCTCTTCTCAAGAGTTTGTTTTATTCATTCCAAAAGGCACTTTTCGATATTGGGATATTCAGGAACTCTAGCCATCTTAAGATTTCCATGTCCGTCAGAGCACTCGGATTTTATAGAGTCTTTTCCTCTTAAAATTTTACAACAGGTGGATTCGGGTAAATTAAAATCGCTCTGAATTTCATTTCGCGATTTTCCAGATTAAAACGCACTCACTATTTTAAATTTATTACTTAATGACAGTACATACTTTAATTTTCCGTTTTACATGATGCAGATCACAACTTTCCTTTTTTTTCCTATTCCCTCTAACATGGTCCGAGTCTTTGTTAGTTGTCCACTTTCATACCAGTTCTCGCTTTCTCAAAGGCCTGTCATTCTGCATTCTGTATCTTTCTTACATTTGTCTCATTCTTGGGATATACCCGTCTATCTAACCGTGTATTCTATCATATTCTCTAGTATATTCTGAGGACTAAGGGGTGCTATTTTATTTAATAACCATTGGAATCTTATTTATTGGTAGTACATTTGATTTTACCTGTTTTAATTTATTACATAACTCTTTTATCTAGTATCACCATACTTAATTCTAACATTTATGTCATTATTATTTTCGCTAATCATCTTATTTTTAACTATTACTCTTCTTTGGTCTGAAACCCTCCGCTTAGAAACTTTGACGTTGGGATATTTTATAACAATTTGTTCTTGCAAGAGTTTTCTATATACAGTGAGATCTGTTTCTAATTTGGTGATTTTAAGATAGGTACGCATGACAAACGTGTTTACCTCTTCAGTCTATCGCATGCGTACCCGGGGTTTACCAGCCTTAGTGGAAGCAGGTAAAAGGCTGTTCGCCCCTTGTGCAACATCTAAGTTGGTTATTAAAGATTTTATTGGGATTTCTGATTGAGAATGTGATGCTATTGATGTAGATTTATCTAATGAAATGTAAGGTTGGGAAAGTCTATCCTGTCTATAGTTTTCAAGTTGTGAAAGATTGGAAGTTGTGAAAGCGGTCCTATACGTTTCTTCTTTGCTCTTGTCTCCATTGTAAATGGGTTGCCATTGCCATGTTAGCCGTGCCGGTAATATATCACGTGTTATTATTATCGGGAATTTTGTTTTTCTCAGCCCATAAGCTGGTGTAAACTACATTCACGGATACAAATCAAGTGAATGCAGTATATGGTGTGTATTATTTATGTAAATACTATTTATGTTGTTGTGTCATTCTCTTCTAATTGCATGAACTTTCTTACTATTCTACATGTGTTCAAAATAGCAGCCTTCTGTATAGGGATATAGAGGGGCTCATTTAGATCTAATAATCTTAGACTATGAATATATTGGGACGACACCTGTTGTGGAGATAACTATAGGGATGATGTACTCCTTTTCTTGTTTCCAGATTCTTGTAACTTCTTCCTTACGCTCGTTATATTTATTTATTTTTTCAGCGATAGTTTTCTGTAGATTGTGTGTATTGGGTTGTGTTTATTACTTTATTTATTTTATCCTGTCAAGTTATATCTGGTCTGTTATAGTGAATGGTCTTGTCGGTTAGATTGCCTCGATGGTAATACATTTTATGTGTAGTATTTTCTAAGATTGTGGTGTGTATTTGTAATATGGCGTTTTTGTGTTTTGTATAAGTTTATGTTTGAGTGCTAGTTTTTGATGAATGATAGGGTAAAACCGGGATAGATGCCCCACTTTTCGAAAGTGTTTCATTATTTGAATACTAAACATATTTGCTTAGATTGACCCTGTAATATAGTTAGTTTAATCATTCATAAAGCTTTAGAAACTGTATTTATTTACCTAACCATTACTGGTTTTGCAAAAATGTAATTCTTGCGAAACACATTTTTTGGGGATAGGTGCCTACCTATATGGATAGTTGCCCCACTATGAAATCACTTAGGAGGATAAATGCCTGTGATGCGGGATAGATGCCTTTTTAAATAATTGACAAGAACACGTAATCACAATGTAATATTTATTTATTACCTTCATGTGTAGGTAATATAAAATGCTTAACCATAATTATATTTATGCATGTCTACAAAATATATAAAAAAAAAACTGTTTAAGCGATAACATATTAAAACTATCATATAGAATCATCTCAAACGAAACATCCCCGTTTTAACGTAGAAATAATTATTTAACATTAAAAAAAATCAACATTCATATGAATCTCTAACAAAATAAAAATTAATAATTTCGTTTAACCTTAGTTATTATTTAAACATTTGAAAAAATCAACATATTTGTAAGGAATTATCCTTCATTAAGTGGAACCGGACATTTTAAGTTTTCCACATCTTGAGCAATAATTCCTAAAAAGAGTGCATGTATCGTGCAGCCACTTCTGACACATAACGCACTGGATCCAATCAGATTTGGACTTCGTGTTATTATAGGTATCGAAGCATTCTACGCAAACATTTTCATCTATAGAATTAGTTTCTTCAAATTTTTTTTTTTAGTTTTTTTCACGGGTAGTCCTATGGTTTTTTACCTTTTTCAGCATTAGGTGAGAGGTGATCTTCATTTTCACTGTTTGAGCTATAGATAGCTAGTCTTTTACGTAATCCACGGTCCTTGTTTACTTTTAAATAATAATCATTTTCTTTATGACTGCAATAACTCACGTCACCATCTGTTTCTTCACTTGAGTCATAGTTTTTCTTTGGTTTTCCTTTCTTTTTGTATTTCTATTTGTATTCCATTTTTGTATTTTGCGGCGAAATGTGCGGCGCTCGGCCCTATCGTGCATCCCATCGTCTCCAAAATTTTTAAAATCGGGTCGTAACCTTGATTGAAGGTGCACACAGCACACTGCGTAGCGACTTCCACTATTTGCTTGCCGCAGAATACGTGCTTCGGGGCTAGTTGCCACACACAGTGATTGAAGCTCTCGTTATTGTTTTGAGTGTTTGCGCCCGTACATCGTTCTAAGAGATCGTCCGTTGTTAGATCTTCGTAAATCGGCTTCAAAACTTGTTGTACGTCGTCGTTGAGTGCTGGTGGATGGGTGGCTTTTGCACTTCAACAGTTCCTGAAGAGCGCCGAAATCCAAAAAGAACTCCAAAATCACATAACTAAACGTTTGGTCGATTCGGACTTCAAACTCTGTACTCTTTTTCGAGACTTTTGCTGCCGAAGTGCTCGCAAACGTTGGATCCGTTTCGATATCGTGTCGATTTGTTCCCTTGAAACCCGTGGATCTTTTCCGTTCATTTCGGGGATGTCCACTTCTCGAGCCTTTTCTATCCTGCCACGCACATTTCTTTTTCGTAGATCTATCCATTCTTAATGTCGAAACCGAACTGAAAGACGAACCGGGCTTACGTTGGAAGGGACACGAGCAGGTAGGAAAGAGACAATGGAAATAACGGTCGCACGGGCAGCCGGCCGACACAGCAGCTGTAGCGCTCCGTTGCCTTCTTCCAAGAAATGCTGCAAAAAAAATTTTTTTTTTTGAAAATTTCACACTGGAAAGCTCCCTTAAGTTGATTATATCTCATTATTATTATTATTTTCCTATATATCTCCCTAACAATAGGGGCAGATATTCCCGTCACACGGGTCAGTGACCAGTGTTTCTGGGGTGTGAAAAAAAGTCAGTCAGTACAGTCAGTCAACTCATCATCATATTCTAAAAACTTACGTACTATTCGACAGGTATTCAGAATAGTAGCTTTTTGCATATTGACGTATGCGAGTGGTGGTCACTTATTAATTTATTTCTAATGATTACTCTCCTTTGATCTGCAATACGTTGTTGAGATACATTCCAATTCGGATATTGTGTTTGAAATTTGTCGAATAGCCGTTTAGGGTACATAACTCTATCAGTTTCCAATTTTGTAATATAAAGATAAGTACGCATAATAAACAAGTTAGTTTCTTTGTCCCACTTCATGCGTACTCTGGGTTTACCAGCTTTGGTGGTCGCAGGTTGTGAGCTAGAAGCTCCCTGCGAAACATCCTCAGTTGGCCTGTTAAAACTAACAGCAGAATTTTGATAACTACTAATAACGGGTAAACTATGTTCGGCTGTAGACAATTGTTCGGGGGGAACCCGCCTGCTCAGTCCCCCACCGCCAATGGATCGCATACTGTAACACCCAGCACTGGCTCCAGGTGTGCCCCGGCGATCCCCGGGCAGCGGCACTATTCGTAATCTCTTTGAACTTTGCTCCATGATGAATGGGTTACCATAGCCTTGTTCGCCGCATAAGTTTCAAATGTATGCGTGTCCGCCCCCCACGTGGTCTGATGTTCGACTCGGACGTAAGGTTGGGTTTTGGGGGGCTTATTGTTATTATTATTTATATATATATATATTTGTCTTCTCGGCTTACACTGGTAGAATATAAGTAACCTTTACGGACTGGCGTCAAGTAGAGGTCAGTGTTGGATTGATTTCAGTTTGTGGAAAGGTTTCATCTAATTCTAAAAATTTCCTAACTATTCTCCATGTGTTCAGTATAGCGGCTTTTTGATATTGTATACAACGTGTAACGTAATTAACGCACACCCTCAAACACCCCAATTAGAATAAAATAATATAAACGCAATGCATACACCAAATATTATTTATATGTGCGTTAGCATTTTTTATTTGTGAAATTAGTTATTCCAATTTCGTGCAAATAATATGGTCAGCTATTCACCAACACTCCGCTGCACACTCACACACAGACAGACACAATGTACTCGCCGCGCCCGCGCCCCCCTCTCCGAGTGCCGTCCGACAATAATAAGAAGTAGGTAATAATAAGTACACGAAATAACTACATTATGATTTATGATTCTTCTTTCCATCACACTTTTCAGGCTTAAGATTGTCGACATTGAATTTTTTTTTAATGTGAAGCCAATATTTTATAATTACTGATTTGTTAAATTAAATTTGTAAATAAGAATTATTAAACAGCTGATAACGCGTGATTTGATTAGACACCACAATACCTACGACAAAGTCGGCGTGTTTAAATGGTGTGAATCAAAATATTAACAATAATTTAAAGATCATAAACAAACTTATAGTTTAATTTGCACTCGCACGGCGTTGTCGTTTTAAAACATTTTCAAAATGTCCACCGCCTTGTTCAATGCACTTTAATGACCGTTTCCGCAATTGTGGTTTTATTTTAGATAATACTGCAGTGTTACTTTTCACTTTTACAAAGGCGTTATTATCTTATTTTTTAGTTCCTCGAAACTTGTTGTCTCTGTGTTATAAAATAGCGATTTAATTCGCCCCCACAAAAAAAGTCGAGTGGCGTCAAATCAGCTGATCTAGGAGGTCACGTGCGTAGGTATTTGATGTGTGCCGACTGTCGCTGCTGGTGTTGCGTGCGTAGGATGACTGTAATTTACTTAGTTCTATCTTAATTTGAGAAAAAAATGACCTACTTAAAAAAGTATAAAAATCGTTCCAGATACCGATTCTGAACAAACTACTTTCAGGGTGTGCGTTATTTATGTTGTATAAGAGGTGGGTTTCAGTCCAATAAGTTTAAGGCTATTATGTAAATTATTGGGGATAACGCCGGTCGTTGATAGGACTATGGGTACTACGTAGACTTTATTTCGCTTCCAGATGCTTAGGATTTCGTCTTTAAGGTCGGTGTATTTATGAATTTTCTCCGCTATTGTTTTTTGCAAATTGTGACGCTCCTCCTCGCATGCCCCGACCTCAATTATACTGCTCGTCAATCTTTGGGGGCAAGGTTTTCCTTCCTGTCCAAATTGGGTATCCTTTTCAATAAAAGGCTGCCAATATTCTATCCTTGTATTATTACCATTTGTTTTCGCTTTCGCTTTTCGCCCTCCCGTCTTTCAAACTGACTAGCAAGTAAGGAGAGCGGAAGGCAACGTCTGCCATACTGTTTGCAAGTCTGTTTTTGGTTTTGCATCTTCGAACCTGTGTCCTTTTGGGCGCCCTCAGCAATATACGGTCACAGCTCTTGCTTATGCATCCCATTTCTGCCTAACTGGACACTCTGTGTCAAAAGTATTATGTTCGCTTTTTCCAGTTTCGCAGCTAGGCAGTTGAAGCATTTGGGTGCAGCGCCCGCGTTCCACCAAGGGCAGTCCGGTTTTTTGTGGTTTCCCGCGCAGTGGCTAAGGACTTCGTTTTCCTCTGTGCATAGCATTTTGGTGTTTCAGTAGTTTGCCCATCGCCACTAGTCTTTTACACAGCTTCGGGGAGACTCTCATCACAACGTGATTTGTGTGTGGTTTCTTGGTTCGCTTTTTGTACGTTATCTCCATGTTTGGCTCCTCTTCCTTTAGTCCTTCGAAGATTTCCCTATTCTGGTTTCTTTCCTTTGAAATTGATTATTATACACCGAGGTCATCTCAGGCCCCCGGGTGGGGGTCGAGGTTAGCTTTTTGGGGCGTAAGCTTTCTAAATTAATTTAAATTAGGACCATGTCTTGATATCACTATTCTATGGAGTGTCACTGTCACAAATAAGGTCCTTGCACAAACACAACCGATCACGCGAGCCTAACCGGGCGCCGTGATTGGTCCGCGGCGTCGTTGGTTTCACTATAACTAAAGCTTTTAGAGTTATAGATAGGTAGCAGTCTCACGTACGGAAGTCTATGAGGCAAAACCGACTCACTCATAGGGTTTTCTCTCTTATCCAGGTTTGACTGTATATTTTAGATTATGCCAACATTGTGAAGAGTATTCTTTTTTTTGATAACACTGTACAGCGCCATGTATATTGTTCAATAATAATAATAATAACTTTTTATTTCAAGTGACTATGACTCATTTTATTGTTAGTGATACATATTACTTATCTCCTATGTTGTATAATAAATTAATTAACAAAAATAAAAAAAACTATCACTAACTTGTAATCATGGTAGTAATTACTGAACTAATCCGCTCGAAATAGCACAGCAATGACTAACATACTTACAGTCTAACCTGCTAGCAATTGCCTTCATGATGCTGTTGGGACTATCCCGCAACCTATACACCAAGGATCCGCATCTTTTGCGTATAATGGCATAAAAGCAATCGACCCTCGCTGCCGCGAACAGCCCTGTTGCACTACAATGGCGGGGCAATCCCATCAGCACTCTAAAGGCATTGTTATATTGGACCCGGAGTGCGTTATACGTGTAGAAGATGGTACAATAGGCTCTAAAAAGTGTAAGCTTAACTTCGCTCGAACAACGTACAAATCTGCGAGCCAACATATTCGCCCGTACAGACAACGCCCTCCGTTCCCTCTCGATGTCAGTGTCATCCTTGAGGTCGGGTGTCAAGATGTGTCCTAAATATTTGAATTTATATACCCTTACCAGACTAGTGCCGTTGAGCACAATGGGTGGTATTGTTCTCTCTATTTTACCTTCGGCCTCAAAGATCATCATCACACTCTTGACATTGTAAAAACTGGACACTTCATCACTTGTCAGAGGTACATGTGAAGGAGAAACATTTGATTCATTGTATAAAATCTAATTTACTTTATTGACATCATTCAAGATATTATCAACTAAATCCGCTATATAATGCGACACTCTGATGTAATCTATCAATGTGTATGGAGGAAAAATAATCTTATTTTCTCAAATATATAAAGCTGCTTTGGATATTAACAATTTTTTTTCTTGCAGTTTAATGTATGTACTTAGTTATATGAAATAATTATAATTTATTTTATAATTGTGTAAAAAAAAACCTAGTCTTTAGAAATAATTAAGTTTCAACAGGTATATGCTTGTATGTTGTGTTAAATATAAATAATATGAATTAAGATATGTTTTATTTAATTTTCCGATTTATATGAAATTCTGTTTAATAGAAATGTGTAATATTTTGTAACATTGAGTTATTTTTAAAATTTTAAATCTTGAGGATTACATAGTTAAGTACAAACGCGCTTTCAAAAACTAAATTCCTTCAAAGAAAAAATTTTTATACCTTTAAGGGCACATATCGTCTTAAATGATAATTATTAATTATCTTCTTTTTTATTCTTTTTGTGTTACCTAAAATATGTAAAAACTGAGATATATTAAAAAGTAAGGAAGACTTTTTTTTATTTTCAGATGTATTTAGGTAATTTATTGTGATGTAATAGATGTTTTTCTGTAAGTTCTTGGAATCAATAAGCATCATAATTCTATAAATTCTAGGAATCAATTATGGAAGATAAATTTTGACGACTAAGCATTTGGGATGCTTTAAAACAGTTGCATTTTTAAAATGTAATAATATACTTTTTATACAGGGTGACTGGTGAATTACTAACGATATTTGAGGACATGGTAGTTGACGATCATATATGACAAAATAAAAATTAATATAACATAAATATTAATAAACTTCTAAGTAAAGTTAACCAAAAGTTATGTAATTAATTACGCATCGTGTGAACACCCTACAGATTAGGTATACACACACACTCACACATACGCAGCGGGGGCGTGGTTTTGTATCAGCACGCCGCCGCACGCGTCCACACTTGGAACACTTGGAACGTGTCAACACTTTATTTATTTATACGGAAATTTTGTCAAAAATTAAGTACCTAGTTTTTTTACATAATTCGAATGAGAATCATGTACCGAGTATGCTCCTTAAATATTGATAGTAATTCACCAGTCACCCTGTATATGTAAATGCAATACAATTATGAATTTTGTCATAGTGTTTGAGATAGGTATTTAAATTTATATATAATCCAGGTATCGAAGGGAAAGTTAATAGAAACAAACGGTAAAGATATTTTGGATCATTTAATTCAATTTGTTTGTTTATACAATCTATGGGTCGACAAGTTTATATTAGATCAGATCACACAGCTAAGCACGTAATGTATATAAATTAATAATCTTTTATTAACATTTCAATAATTTAACCCTTAGCGATAAACCTTACAATGTTCCCACACGTGGTCGCCTTACAGATGGTACTCACTTAATATACAACTCTAGAGCTACAAAAATAGTATCAATATCTTTAAAAATATAACATTCAATTACTATATCGTAACAAGTTATTCTCGCGAGAGAACATATATACTTTATTATTACTTCTTTTATTAGTAAACACGACTTACGTCATTTATGTTAGAAAGCGATCTGCCTTGACTATCGGCTATGGCAACACTGATCGACTCAAATCTTAAAAAGATCTTTAAATAATAGATTCACATTGCGTATCTAATAAATAGTTACATAAACATACATTAATGAAACCGACAAGCGCTTTTAAAAATAATAATATGTCTGGCAACACCGGCCTATATGAAATGTTCTCAAACTATAATAGTCACATTACAACACAAAATATATTCGAAATTGACTTAGATATGTTATTAAGGCATCGTGTGAATTGCACTAGAACAATTGACAGAATCATTACCTGATTAAATATAAAGACGGCTCAAGCAAAAATATATGGCAATTAGCACAGATATAGTCACATAGAATATATGGATGACATTAGTAACAAACAAAATATATAAACACCTCGAGTGTCCGTAATAAGGGAAGCGAATAAATATTTGTGCATTCACATTTTTTTGATAGTTTTTCGTGTTTTTTTTTTGTATAAAAATATCGCTAGTGATTGACCTTGAATGAGTTCATATCAAACTTGAGGTCGCGGCTGAAGCACCAGTCTCTCGCTGTTTCTACTAACGGTATAGCTGTTTTAACGCTGCGAGCAAAATCTGTATTTATTAAAAGAAATACGCTCACAACGTTATGGTGTATGTAAGCTACATCTTCATCTGGACGACAAGCATGTCAAACCTAGCGAAGACAAGCTTTGTATGGAGTTATGTGTAGATGTTCATGTGTTAGTGGTTTGTGTGAATTGATGAAGCGAGAGATGGTTGGATGGTTGTTATTTACGCGATCTTCTGCTTGGCGCACTCGGGGCAGATGACGTCCTGCTCGTCCGGGATGAATCCCTTCCCTACGAGAGACACCTTGCAGTACGCGCACTGGAAGCAGCTGTTGTGCCAGTGACGGTCCTCGAAAGAGATGAAGCGAGTGCCGCCGATACCTGGAAGAAATGAAACGATACATCAACTTATGATCTGAACTACTCCATACTTGAGAGCCGTTTATAACATACGTCATCAGCCTATCAGAGCCCACAGCTGAGCAAGGCCTCTTTCTCAGACGGAGAAGGCATTAATCACCACGCTTGCTCAAGACGGGTTGGTGATTTCAAACTTATATTTGTGAAACTATAAGTCCAGGTTTCCTCACGATGTTTTCCTTCACCGTATGTCAGTGGTGTCTAAATACTCTCAGAAAGTACATATGACTCCGAAAAACTTGCCAGGTTTGAACCCGCGCCCTCGGCAACGAGAGGCGAGCCCTTTCAAGATAAATAACATAATAAGAATTAAATGAAGTTTTTTCTTGGACTTGATATACTGACCGGATATAGGCTTGCTGCAGGCTGTGCATCTCTTGGCGAACAGTTCCCCGAAACAATTGCTGCAGTAAGGCTTCTCGTCTCTGGACGTGAATCGTTCTCCGGCCAGCGAGGTGTTGCAGTGTGTGCAAGTAAAGCACTCGCGGTGCCACGGCTCGTGCTTGTACGTTACACCGTCTTGCGTTATGATCTATAACGATTCAAAACAGTTTCATTTAATTTCTCTACTTTTAGTTACTCACTAAGGGACTACTGTTCTTTCGAGATTACTTTAAATTAGAAGAATGCAAGAGAGTTAGACTTTATATGTTGTTTGATTCATTAAGATATAATAAAAATACAGCTTTTCATAGGTTTGATGTTAGCGTAGTTTCAAATCTGCTAGAATATTTTTTTTACTCATACTGGTAGCTAGGTTCGAAGATCAGTTTATATTTTCTATAATTATCTTTATCTAGATGAGTTATATCTCAGTTAAACATCGCCCACCTTATTGCATTTGACGCAGCGTGTAGAGAACTTATTCTCATAACAACCAGTGCAGTAGATTTCCTGTTCGCGAGGGATGAAGCTCTTGGTCCCGATGGCTTTCTGGCACACAACGCAGCAGAAACACTTCTCGTGCCACTGTCGAGTCTTGTACTCCATCTTCTTAGTGCCTAGTAAGAAATTACATTCATATGTATAATTAATTGCCTATTAATTGCTGAATGCCTATTAATTTCTGTATGGTATACCTATTTGGGACACGTCATGTACATATATGTATATTGTAATAGCATTATTTTTTATAGTTATAAGTTGTTTTTTTGGTTTATGTTTTTTTTTTTGTTGTTTTATTTCTTATTTTTGAAATAACTGATATTGCATCATTTTTGTACGATCCCAAATAAAAATGTTCTTTCTATATAAGCGAACAGTGACATTCGTAGTTGAATAATACAGCTAGTTTAGACAATGCACAGAATAAATTATATAAAGTATTCTAAAAAATCGTCTGAACAATAACGGCAATTATAGGTAAAAAAACTTTTGAATCTGCCTCGATGGCAAAAACCGGTGACCCAATAGAATAAGGCTATCGATGATGCAATAGAAACATTAAATCATAATGGCCATAGTTTAAGTTATCCTACTAATATTATACATAATTGCGAAAGTTTGTGAATTGTGAGTGTGTGTATATGTTTGTTACTTCTTCACGCTCAAACGGTTGAACCGATTTTGATAAAATTTTGTATACAGGTAGCTGACGTCCAGGAATAACATATACATAGATTACATTACATCCCGGAAATCGGCGGGTAACACCGCGGGGCGCAGCTAGTTTACAATAAAAACCGTTTCAGAGGCTATTAAAGTTCAATTCACATAGATTGTTCTATGTTGGTAATACACTGCACTGTTAGCGTGTTTTCAATAATACGAGTGTCCTTCAAAACCTTGGTACGAGCTTGCATGCTCCAGGATATTTGGACGATGCACGCGAATTCTGCACCTTTCAAGGTTTATTGAACTTGATTCGATAGATTATTGACTCGACGTTGTTTACGATCGATTTTCACATTCAATTTTTATTGGTCATGATAGTTTTAGGTGAATTTTTCGTAAATATCTCGAAGTATATTAGCTTTTATGATACTTTTAAAATTTTTATATGATGCTTAGTTGATATATAAACATCGGTACAGACTACACAGCTAGCTACTTCCTCGTTCGACATTGAAACAATAAAGTCGCGTGTAGAGAGACACCCTTCTTCTGCGTCGCTGACTTAAACGTATCCTATTGTTATTTGTCATGTAAGGTATCTATTGTTTACGACGAGCACAAGTTTTTCGCAGATTTTAATATTTCGCTTTATTTATACAAGTTAAAAGTTTATATAGATTGCACAATAAATATTTAAACCCATCGGAATGGACTTATGTATTTACATTCCTGTTACCAACCGTGGCCCAATTGGAGCGCTATTTGGTTTGCAAATGTACACTACTCCTACACGATTCACTTGTTTTGTCAAAACTCCGACTGATTTATATGAATCAGTTGTATTTACTTCTAAAATGGACCCGACATTATTACTATAAACGGTTAAAGTAAATATAAAGTGTGAAACGAATTAGCGATTGAGTCGATATTATTGTCTTGTGTATAACTCACACATCTTGACACGATTTATTAATTTATTTTGTTTCATTCTAAAAACCATAACAATATAATGAGGTAGACAGATTTCTATATATTTCGACGAGTTGTTCTTGTATATATGTTTTTAATTTTAAACATTAAATGTGATACTCGTATGTCAGTCGTCACGGTTGATAGTTTTGGTTCGTGGTTTACTAGGGCGTCCATTGTAGTAACATAATACGTTCAGTTCTGAGTTTCACTAACTCACTCGACTTTCCCTAGCTGGATAGTTTAACAAACATTTGTGGAGAACACTAATTAAGTGAACGTGTGAGAATGATAACTCATTTGAATGCTGACTATGATTTTAGACGAATTTAAGTTCTATAGCCATCTTTAATTAGAGAGAATTCTATTTATTTATTGTCTATGAACTAAAACGATTTAAAATCTAATAGAAACAGTTATATCTGTACTAAATTACAATGTTTTTTTTGTATGTTTTTCATATAACGTTTGTATCGCCTACGTATTATATATGAAGGTTAACGGTGACAGTATAGTGATGTCAGCGAGTGGGCGCCTCGCTAGCCTTTTACGAGACCAACGTACATAGAATACTCTCTCGACTTAAAGATTTATTGAGATGAAGTGGATCATTAATATATTTTTATATTATAAATAGGAATTCGGAAATTAAATAAGTTTTTTCAATGTTTATAACAATGTATAAGGGAGTTTATATGCAAATTTAGTTGGAATGTATTGACATGACTCTTTGTCAATCATCAAATTACTCACGGAAAACAAAGTCCGTTTTATTATTCAGTTTGTTATTTTGTTTTAAACGATTTAATAAGATTTATTTTTTATATTTAGTATTCATGCTAGGTACTTGAAATTCTTGAATGTTAAAAATATGTTTTGTTTATATGCAGCCAAGATGTGTTTGGAACAATAAAAATTATCACAAAGCACGTGGACGTTAACGCGCCGAGGAAATTGTTAATGCTGATAAGAGATCGATTGTTTGAAGTTTTCTATGCTCCGTGGAAAGCTAGATATTTAACATTCTTTCGTTTTATGTTTTACGAACTCAAATGTGCAAAAATATTATTTTTTTACTTGCTTAAGTACACATATAAATCATGTGTGTGTGTATCATGTAATGCAAATTAGCCACCATTAAAAATATATTATAGCTTTCATTGATGTATATTTTTATCTAATATAACTTCCCGCAAAATCCTTAATGGATTAATTACTTAAAAAAAATTCTAACAATATGTTCTAATTATATTCATAATAGGAGCTTATAGGAAACCATTCGGTCGTTTTTACGTAAAATTAAATGTAATTAAATTAATTATATCAGTGTAACCAAGCAACAATATTTTAACTATTCTGCTTGTACAAGAGATGGAATGTGGAACTAAAAAACCCAGTAACTTTAGACACAGCAATTATAACATTTGTATGGAAGGAACAATGTACCGTTTTATATATTTTACGACAGCCATCAGCTATAGCTGAATGGCTGGAAAGCCGCTGTCTAGAAATCTTCGAGACATTACCTGGACGGAAAAATTGATTTATATTGAGTTCAAACAGGAAATCTCCGTCTGCAGAGTATCGGGGCCAAGGGTTGGTAAATATGATAAAACCGCGACGCTAAGGTTAACCGCCATATGTTCAAAATAACCATTTAAGTGCATTCAAATGTCACCTTTACCTCGATCTTTTTTGGGTTCAATATAGCTTGAGGGTATTAACATATTTGTAAATGTTAGATTAATTAGATATATTTATAATATATAATACGTACGAGAGAAAATTACACGAGATGGGTATGTATTTATTCAGATAAAAGCAATTAAATTGCACTGATGGTGAGAGAATTAAAAACTAAGCTTATACTTTTAACAAAAGAATAATCATTAAAAAATATATTATGATATTTTATTTCCACACTATTATTCACTGATCATGAGACTAAAATACCAATTCATAATAAAGCATTATTAACAATTAAAAGATACCTTTTTTCAGTAACAAAGAGTTGAAATCAATGTGGTTTTAAAATTGATACTCGGTTTAACTCTGGATGAATACTAATATATTATAATTAGTTATTATATCAAAATATATATTAATTGAACAAGTGAATAATATATGACGCATAACAGCTTTGTTATTAATGAAGTAATATGTAGTATTAAGTAATTATAACTACATTGACTTGTATAGAAGTGTTTGATTATAAAAATTATTTAATTACAACTGTCTAAGAAGTTGTGTACATGTAATAATTTGTAGTCATATATTTTTTCATGTTCTATTATATAAAATTGTATTCTTTTACGTAATTCTAAAGACTTCTCAAATAGAACTACCCCAAAAGTGGCTCCCTGCACTTTCTCGAGACAGTATATCCGGAAGAAAAAAAACTGAACAAAGAGCTCTTAGGTGCACCTTTTAGAGCAATTTAGAAGACGCCGGTAAAATATTGTTGTTTTACGACATTTTAATGAATGTTATAAACTAATGCATGTTTAATGCATTGCTGTTGAACACTAAAATGTACTGAGAGGTTTAGAAATATGTTCCAAGTTTCTTTTAATGTATGTACATTGAAGACGAAATAGGTGAAGGTTTTATTTGTTTGTTTAATGAGGTAATTGTTTACTGTGTTAATGCATAACTTCATTTATAAGAAACGATTTTTTTTAAATTTTTACGTATAATTATTTTTATTACGAAATTATTTTAAGTTTTTAGCGTTTCCCTAATCATTGAACGTAATTAGGATTCGTCCTTCGAAGTAATGCCGGGACTAATTGAATGAAAGCATTGAAGTTCATTCAATTACGCTTCGAATGAATTAATAGCGCGGCTTAAATGAAACAGCTTTGGACATGTGGTAATTAATGGATTCAGCCTGCGAAGATTTTAAGTGAAATTTTGTGGTATCTTCACTTTCAGTAATAAATATTAATAAAAATGAATGTGTAATGAGCAATATTTTTTTATATAGAATAAATAAAAAATATCAAAGTTGTATAAACCTGCAATAGTTTTTTTGGGATCCCCGAGCAGGCATTGGTCTTTCATGACACAACAGAATTTTTTATTCTCCCTCTCAGCTGTCGCATTCGGTAGGAACATGGACAGTATGGCCACATCCTCGTTATTTTCAAGCGCACGCCTTATCCTCTCTTGTCCAACGGTCTTCGTCGTCAAATGGAGACGGGATTTGAAATCATCACTTAACACATCCGCGGACATAATGATAAACCTTTGCTATCGACTTGTGAAAAAGTTGTACTGTCAAGATAAAAACGCGGGAAAACTGACAGCTCGTGTGACCGGTGTAGGCTTCTCGGCTGACGGTGAGACACTGACGCCCGCCGGTAAAGGATGTAGGTTGTAGATTAAAATTAATTGATCAAATACGATTTCGACTCTTAAGAGTACGAATTAATACGCTGATGTCATATTCGGATGCTTTGGGAACAATGGGGTTCTT